ATAACCACATCTGTTAAATAAACACAAATTATTCACAATTTATTTGGTCATCTTTATATCCTACAAATACAAAAGCAACAGTTATTCTTTTTCCTTTTGAATTTTAAAATTCTTCTAATACTTGACCATCTCCTCTTCATTTGTCACTGGTGCCCCCCCCATTTTGTGAGTCTCTGCCTTCTTGCTGTTGACTAACTACATGTTTATTAGATGTTTATTTCACTTCTCTAAATAAGAAATGTAATGGGTTGGATTAGAGAATTTTTAATTATGTGAAAATAGCGTTAGACTATGGAAAAAGCTGCTGCATATTGAAATAGACACTGAATGATATCCTTAACGTATACTTCCATGTTTGTGACATGGTCCCGGGAAATGATCTTAAGGATGCATCACAAACAACGGAGGTGAAAAACGTCCAAATTTCGAGAAATGGTTTCAGTCATCTTCTAGGTCTCGCCATCCTCGGTAGGTCGCCGTCAGCACAACGATCATAGCCAGGAGTCGCAGTTTAATCTGCAGAGAGAGGGAAGGCAAGTTCCAGATTGGACGAAGTCGCTGGAACACGGCAGATGCTTTGCCGATGTGGCAGATGACATCTCGTTCTGCATCCCCATTTGAGGAGACGACACTGCCAAGATAAGTGAAGTTTGCAACTTTCTCCACTTTTTTCCCATCGATTGTAATTGGTACTCTCGAGTTTACATAACCAATGCGAACGACTCTAGTCTTCTGTCCATTAATTCGGAATCCAGCGCTGGCCGCTTGATTTTCTAGGGCCATAGTGAGGTCTAATAGGGCAGTTTGAGTCGGGCCGAGAATGACAATATCATCGGCAAAGTCGAGATCGGTGAGGAAGAGATTACCAACTGTCCAGGGTATGCCGATGTGTAGGCGGCCGATGGAGTGGCGGGCGACAAAGTCGATGACAAGGAGGAATAACATCAGTGAAAGCACACACCCTTGTCAATACCCACGCCAGTTTCAATCGTGAAGAAATCAGTTATTCCTTCTTCCATCCGTACACAACATCAAGAGCCTTGGTAAAGGTTGAGAAAGATGTCTACAAATCGAGATGGAATTCCATAAGCCCAGGCTATCTTCCATAGCGTTTCTCAGTGCACCGAGTCAAAGGCCTTGACAAAGTCGATAAAGTTCAGTGAGATCCATTTTTGGTATTACAGTCATTGTTCTATCACTTGTCGCAGAGCAAAAATCTGCTCAATGCAGGATCTGCCCCTTCGGAAGACCAGGACAATAGAGAATACCTTTACAGGTACAGAGAGAAGGGTAATACCCCGCCAGTTATCGCACTTGGAGAGATGGCCTTTTTTTGGGAGCGTGAAGATCATACCTCGTTTCCATTCCTCAGGGACTGCTGAGGTTGCCCAGCAAGCATTGAGCAAATCCGTCAGGGCATCAACTAGGCAATGGTCACTAGATTTAAGTAGTTCAGGTGGGATCTTATCCAAGCCTGCAGCCTTGCCATTCTTGAGTGCCCGGATCGCATTTTTTGTTTCCGCTGCTGTGATCATGTCAAGATTTACTGGTAGATCGGTTATAGGGTTTAGGAGGCTGGGATCGAATACTGTGGTTGGCGCTGGCTGGTTTAGGACTTCCTTGAAGTGCTCAACCCACCGACGCTCGTGTTCTTCTTGAGTAGGAAGGGCCCTGCTGTCCCGATCTTTGATCGGTGCCCTGCTTCCAGATGGTGAGCTGGTAAGCTCTCGAACGATCCGATATAGCGTACATGTATTGTTTCGATTTGCGGCTTCTTGTGCCTCGCTCCATTTCTGATCGACCCACTCACACTTCTCATAGTCACGTCTGCAACTTTGCTTTACTTGTCGATCCAAGTCCATATACTTAATCATGCAGCTTTGTGTTCTGTATCTATGCATGCTTGATCCTGGACTTACTTCACATGCCGCCGTTCATCTATCAATGCCCATGATTGAGGTTGGATCCAGCGTTCTCTGAAGGTGCCCCGTCGGCAACCTATGGCCGCCTCTGCTGCGGTTACCAGGGTGTCTCGAAACTGCTCCCAACGAGAATCCAGGTCATGTGGGGGGCCCAATAGTTTGATGCGGTTCCGGTCCGCAACATTATACTGCTGCAATACGACCAGGTCTCAAAAGTCGTGCGACATCAAAAGGCTTTGGTCGCTGGCCACGGGCTGGCAAACGTCGTAATCGAAGTTGGCAGGTTGTGACGAGCAGCAAGTGGTCAGTACCCACATCGGCACCCCGATAACTTCGCACGTCGAGGATGGACGAGCGCCAACGCTTGGTGATGCAGACATATTCAATCTCGTTGTACACTCTGCGGGTGCCCGGGGCTTTCCAAATAACTTTGTGGATCCGCTTGTGTGGGAAGTATGTGTTCATGACCACAAGTCCTTGTGCAGCACAAAAAGTCAGGAGTCGCATATCATTGTCATTGGTTTCGGTCACTGAACCATGGGGGCCAATCACATGAATGCTTGCCTTTCCTTGCTGATCTGGGCATTGAGATCGCCTGCAACGATGACTAGGTCATGGCGCGGGATACGGTTGAGCTCAAGTAGCAAGTCATCATAGCAAGTGTCCTTTTCCACATCTGAGGCATCTTCTGTAGGCACATAGACCTGAATGAAGGTTAGTTTCAAATGTATGCCTTGTAGCCGTACGGAAATTATTCTGTCCGAGACAGGTTGCCACCAAAGTGGGCACGATGCCGCTCGGCGGGAGAGGACAATCCCCACACCGCAGACATGGTCACGGTTGTGGCCGGAGTATATGAAGGTCTTATTGTCACTTATCAACTTCCCACTGGCCGTCCAACGGACCTCGCCAATGCCAAGGATGTCAAGGTGATATTGGTCAAATTCTCCCAGGAGTTGCACCAATTTGCAGGTAGAGAACAGAAATGATGATTTGGCGTTGAGGATCTTGACATGCATCAGGGGTCGGACATTCGAATGACTTTGTTCCGACACCATCATCCGTGGTCGGCAGTCATCTCTGCCACAGTAAGCACATAAGGGGTCACTTCTTGTCGTTTCTGTAACAGCAAGGGTTTTTACGGGGTGGGGTCGCTGGCCCCACGCCCAACCCTCCTCCTTTATCCGGGCTTGGGACCAGCATGGGCTAGACCCCATCATGAGAATGATATTTAATGTCAAATGTTTGTAAAGTCACTTAGCCTACACACATTAACGCTTAATGCTTAAAGCTCTACCTGATTGAATTGTTTTTATTTCATTTTTAGCTGCTGCCACATTCTTTTTTTTTTTTTGCTGTGGGATACCATGAAAATGAATATTAGTTAAATAATCTACAGTTCCCTTTCAGTCAGTCACATTCAACGTCACGTCGGAATGTACCGACGAATTGTGATCTTGTCTGAGAGTCCTATCATCTTGGAGTGTAAACTAAATGAGCCAATGCATATTGGCGTGCGAGATTTGCATCTCGCGCTCCGCCCCGCAGCGCGGGTATATATGTGAAAGCGGGTGCAATGCACATTCAGCTTTTCACTTCGGAACCGAGCGGTTGTTGACTGTTCTGCTCTGCTGTCGTCCTCGTGAGACTGACGCGCTATGAGTGCACAGGGAGGAGCTTCAGAGTGTTGGGGTGATGGCGCTGCAGCCATCCCCTGGTTACCCTGTTCGCCTCAGCACTAAAAGAGCAAATTTCCCTAAAAGAGCAAACACGGGTGTGATGTTGAGTCTTTATTGAGTCTTTTATCAATTACATAGTTTTAATTAAAAAGCATTATGTCATTACTCATGTTATAGCATTTTAAATGTAATACATTCTGACATGTAATATGTCCAGTAAGTATAAGATATTCACATTGTTGTATTCATGTCTGTAAGATGTGGTTCTTAGTTCAATGAGTGCTCCTAACTTGATCGATTCACCCACAAACTGAACATCATTTAAAGCGGTCATGAACTGAGAAACCAGAATTCCCTTGATCTTTTGACATAAGACTATAAAAACATCCGGTAAGTTTCAGAACTCAAAACTTTGTCGTTAGTCTAAAAACAGCAAAAACAGGACAGAAAATAGCCTATAGCTTCTAAATTGTTTCTTGATGTAAAAACCTTGATAACATTATAAGTGGACCTCAGAGAACAGCACAAAATAAAACAAAAAACAAAGGCAGTTCATGCCACCTTTAAGAACTTTTTTGTTCTCATTATTTCAAAATATGCATCACATTTCCAGACTTCAAGGCTGCTATAACTTTTACGAGCCAGCAGATGGCGCTATTGTCGATACTTTTAAGGCTTAAGGACTTCTTACTCAACCAGGAAAAGCCTCGGAGCTTCATGACGCTTCATTTCGCTATTCCTAGTAGATCCGACGCAGTGACAACCTTTGTTCGTTTCGACGACTCGTTTTTCGCGTCGCGTTTGTGGAGGAAGGGCCTTTGAGTTATAATTATATGGTTATAAAAGAACGTCTGACTGACTGTGTTTTGTTTTTATTTTTTCACTTTACCTGAATAAGCCACATCATTTGAGCTATTGTTGCACAACCCTGCGCAGTTTAATAAGCGCAATCATAATAATAATAAATCGAGATGTGCACTGAACTCAACGGAGACCTCCACGTCACACGCAGGGACCCGGTGCACACGAGCTTCCGGTATCCACGCCGTCTGACCGCAGTGAATCACGGGATACGAGTTTTTGACCCAATCGTGACATCACAAAAGGCGTTGGATTAAACTACATCTCCCACAAAAGCCTCTCCTGATTCCAAGGAAAGCCCCGTTCTGGCAGCTCCTTCGCTGAATTACAGCCTCCTCCGCTCCATGTTATTGAGGGGAGAGGAGCGGGACGGAGGCGACGGATCCGTCATGGAGCAGCTTTAGGAGAGATAAAGCACAAGCTCCTCTAGCCCTGCGCAGAAATCACACACCGGCAGGAGTCTATCAGGGACGGCGGGCGAGAGCGCGGTCATGCGGTGCGCGGACAGCAGAATCTGAACGCGTCTGCGGTTATAAAGATGAGCGCGGAGCAGCAGCGCGACCCGACGCGGGCGGAGGTGCAGCGGCTGTCCCGGGAGCTGGCGGAGACCACGCGGGAGAAGATCCAGGCGGCGGAGTACGGGCTCGCGGTGCTGGACGAGAAGCAGCAGCTGAAGCAGCGGTACGACGAGCTGGAGGCGGAGCACGAGACCGTCCGCCAGGAGCTGGAGCAGCTGCGAGAGGTATAACGCGACGCGGCGCGATCATCAGTGCTGCGCCTGCATTAAGTAGCTGGCGTCAAAATGCTGGCATTATGTCGACGACATGGCGAAGTCGTGGCTTGTTGTGTTTGAAGACGGTGAAATGCTGATTGTGTTGCTGGATGAGCCAGAAAACACTGTCCCAATCCGATGATTCCTTCCTCCGGTCGCATTTTTCACAAATGTGTCACTTTCCTTTGATGTCCCACAATTCTGTGCGTGCGGCGGTTGTTGGGAAGAAAAAATAAGTTTTCTGATGGAGCAGATGGATAAGTCATAAATTCATAAATTTGATTCAGTTTCTAGTAGTAAGCTTTGTAGTGATATATATATGTATATGTATATGTATATTAGTGCTGTCAAACGATTAATCGCATCCAAAAGTTTTTGTTTACATAAATTTATTATATATATATAAATACAAACACATGCATGTATATATTTAAGAAAATATGTTATGTTTCTATATTAAATATATAATATAAAATATAAGAATATTAATTTATAAATGTATAAACGTAAATATTTTCAAAATATATACTGTATGTATTTATATATACATAATAAATATACACAATACACACATATATATTATGCAATTAATCGCAATTAAT